GGTCTTGGCTCAGACCTGTAGCTCCCACCCACTGAGTCTGCAAAGCCTTCCTCTTGCCCAGCATCCCTACAGCCCTGGGGTTAGTAGTTCCAATGTCAGCACTTCCCACTGTCCCTGCCTGCCAGGTCCTTCCTCAGGAAATGGGGACTTGGGAGGGAGGCAGCTGGTCCTCTTGTGGGATATTGAAGGGAGTCTCTGTTGGCCAATGGGGTGTTCCTAATTTAGCTGCATCTCTACTTCACTCTTCAGTGGCCCATGACCGTCTCTAGAGTCTTTTAAGGACCTCCCTTAAGGATCTGTTGCCTGCCCAGGTCACTCCTTCCTGGAAGGAAACATTCTTCCCTGGGCCCAGCAAGAGAGGAGAGTCAGGTTTGTTCAGAGATGTTGCTTTCATTGAAGGGAGCATGAACGGGGGGACGTAAAGGTCCAGAACGGCCTCAGGGGCAGAGTGAGGAGTCAGCTGTCTTAGCAGAGGAGGAGGTGATTAATAGGAAATATAACACTGTCTTGATTGAGGGTGAAGAATTGGAACGTAAAGAAATTCTGAAGAATTTTCCATTGTTTAAGGTAGTTTTACTTAAAAAAAATTTTAATCTTGTTATTCAAGATTCCCCAAAATGGTGAAACCCAGGTGTGCAGAGAGCTAAGGAAGCACTATTCTGTACCTTGAAGTGTCCTCATGAGCCAGCAGGGGGCAACAGAGAGGGTGGAAGCAGCAGCTAGAAGAACTAACTGGTCCTGACCACAGCAGGGTCAAAATAGAGAATGGAGAACAGGTCTTGCGTCCAGGAAAGACACCTAAAACGTGGCCCCCTTGTCCAATCCTCACTGTTTCCTAGAAAGTTGCTGGGGGGAGCTGTTGATGAAATGCAGTCAAATTAGTGATCTGTGAAGAACTTTCTCTTCAAGTAGATGAGAAGTAACTTCTGGGCTGTGTGGCATTCTCTCTTGGTGCTGGAAGAAAGGGACTGGAGAGGGGCGGGGGAGCAACAAATTCCAAGCTATTTGAAGATGGGGTACTGTGGAAGAGCCATTTCCACTTTGGTGGTCTTCCTGTTAGCATGGGGAGGGGGTGCACTTCTGCCAACTGGGGGTGGGGAGCAGGGCTCTGGGCCCTGGGAGGGAGCTGCAGGCGATTGTGTGCTGTTGTTGCTGCTGCAGGACAGCGTTCCTGGGTTGATGAGAACCTGCAAGAAACAGGAGATAAACTTCTAATCTGCAGCAACAACAGTGGAAGAACTTAATCCCGAGTATTCACATGGGAGAAGCTCCCTTTCCTCCACCCGCTTCCTCATTCTCTGGGACGAAGATCGTCTCATCTTTCCCACTCACTCCCAGCCCACTGTAGCCTCCAAGGAGCAGGTTCTCAACCAAGGGGAGTCCTCTGGGGCTGCACTAAGATGCCCCATGTCTGCCCACAGCTACCCCAGCCCTCGAGGGTTCTGCCCTGTAAGAGGATCATGCTCGCATCGCAATGACTCAGAGAAAAAGCAAAACTTTTGGGGGACACCGAAACGTAGTGCCTGTTAAGAAACGGGAAAAAATGAGTGGGGGGTTTTTAGTCTGAGGAAGCAAAGGTTTGAGGGGTTAAGACTGTGCATAGTTCACAGCTATTCCTCATAGAGACATGCTCCCGAATGTTCCAGAGAGTGGGAACAGGATGAGTGGAGGGAAGTGCTAGGAGGTAAAGATGAAGTCCCTGCCACCCTATTCTTACCCAAATTTAGCAGCACTTCCTAAGTTAGTGAGTTCTCTGGCCCAAAACTGTTTAATTAAGTTCAATTAAGAATATTTAGTTTGGTGGGATGCGGGACTGATGATTTTAGTCTGTCATGCAAATTTTCCTGTCTTTTGATCTGTGCCAGTTATGAAGATATTTTGTCTTTCCCCCTAGACTTATTGGCTATTTCTCTTCTCCATCTATGCTATCCCTGGTTACTTTAACACCTGACCTCTGTTTCTTCAGTGAAGTTAATACAAGCCAATTTGAATTGGCCAATTAAAAGTCAAAATTGAACATCAGAAAAAACAGTCAGTAAAACCACAGGCTTTTGTTACATTAGCCTGAGCACAAGCTGAAGATGATTGCAGAAGGAGGAGAAAAGTACAGTCTCCAAGGAAATTAAGTTCTAGTCCAGGTCTACCAGAACACTGTCTGTGGTCTGGGGCCCTGGTTCCCTTATCTACAGCTGCCAGTGTGAGCATGGTGCCCACGTGGTGTGACAGGAGGCTCTGTTGTCTGTGCAGTGCTCACAGCCCTGCAGAGATATTGTTGCTCTAAGCCCCAGGGGGACCCCTACTTGGCAGCTTCACTGAGGCATTCAGGAGATCCTGGCGTCTGCAAGGAGATGAGCAGAAAGGACTCGCTGAGCTCCACATCCCCAGGAAACAGGCATTCTGCAGGGATCCCAGGGCTGGGACTCAGCATCTTTCCTAACCCCCAGTACAATCCCACTATCTCTTTCAGATTCTTGAAATGAAATTACTATCAACATCAACAATACCACCTCCAGCTCTGAGCTTTAGGATCAAATGGAGTTTAAATAGTTTAGTTAAACAGTCCTTGAGCTCCAACCAGAGACCAGGCCCTCATGTGTGCATGTGTGTGTCAGGGGGCAGTGTCGGGGTGTGAAGATGCAGAGAGCCCTGGAGGACCTCACAGTCTGTGTGGGGCAGGGTGAGTGTGTTACAGATGTTTAGACAGAGTGAAAGTACAGAAGCATGACAGAAGTCTCATCACCATGCTGTGGAAGCCCAGTAGGAGGAAGTTGGTTGATCACAGAAACCTTCCTGGGGAGATGTCACCTCGGGGGATGATGTCTCATTCCAGAACTTTCCTATCCATTGACCTTCCATTGGCAGTTTATCCAGTCTTCCATTCTTCAGCTATCTTCATGGATGGATACTGCACGCTTTGCTTTCTTCACCAGGAAGAGACGGATTCCTGGACTGGTCAGCGGGCCAGGAGAAGGTTTGTCATGCTTAATCTCTCAAAATAAAGAAATGGAAACCTCATCCTGCTCAGTCTGCTCCCCACAAAGGCACTCACCTTGTGCTCCGTACCTGGGCACAGCCCAGGAGTCTCTGGTCTTTCCATACTGCCAGTTCCCAGCTGCTGAAACACCTTAGGGGTTTGGGCAGGCCAGTGGATGAATGGACATCCTTACTTACCCAGGTAATAGTTTTAGCCTAAAGTTATTTAAGAAATTCTTCCTGTTGATCTTTAAAAAGGACTCCAAGCTTTGAAAACTGTGGAGAAAATGCATTCTATACACCTACAAAGCAGAGCCGGCATGAGAACAATTTAGGGCCAGTGGAAGAGATCAGTAACAAGACTTAGAACCAGAACCAGAGCTTCTTCTGGTCTCTCTCTGTTTCAGAATCTGAAATTAACCACCACGGATATTCCTGGGCACAATGAATGGACCCAGGAACCTGCAATCAACTGGGAGGAAGGGGAATGGGTGGAGTTTGGGGGAAAGACTCACAACTCTTCTCAGTCCTACTGTAGGTAAAATTAGTCCTTAGCCTCTCTCTTCTACACTTTCTCTCAATTGTTCTTGAAATTTCTTACTTTGCACATATATTTTTCAATTGACTGTGACCTAATTTTACCTCCATGGAAGTAAGAGAGAGGCTACTATGAGGCTGGTGGGAGGAGAATTGGGGAAAACATGGAATGTGATTAAACTCAAACTTCCATCATCACTGGATATGATTAGCTCTCAAGAAAGGTCTTGCCTGTGGCACTTAAGAGCCCAAGGGAGAAGTCCAGGCAAGAAACCAAGGAGTCATCATCTGCTCTTCCTTCTTCTTCACCTTCCATATTCCACACATCACCCCAGCACACCCTCTGCCCTTGTCAGATATGATCTAATGGTCCACGAGGCATGTATCAGTCCCCACCATCTCAGCAGACCACTGAGGAGGCTTCTCTAGAGAGTCTCATTATCTTCTTTTCTTTATCTCTGGGTTTTATCAGTTCCAGACATTTCATTGGTGCTAATCAATGATTGTTGAGTTAGAGTACAGAACTTGATTTATCAGAGTAAAGGACAGACATAAATAACCCTACCTGTAAGCTGAGGCTGAAATGCAAGCAGGACTTCCTTAGTCCTTCCACACCTGTCTCAGGCTCAGGCTCAGGGACACTGGAGGCCCACCCCACAGTGACTGTCTAAGCCAGCAGTCCTCAAAGTGTGGTGTGAACACCCTGGGGGTTCTCAAGGTGCTTTCAGTGAGGTCCGTGGGTTAAAACTATTTTCATAATGATGTTCAGATGTTGTTTGACTTTTTCACTCTCTTTTATCTATAAGTCTACGGTAGAAATGACAGAAGAGACAACATGACATGTGGTGATATTATCACTCTGACAGCTAGTGCAATGCCTACTTGTGTATAGTGTGTTTTAAAATATTCTCAGTTTTAATTTCCAATAAGAGAAATATCAATTGATAAAATTCACAATAACTAAAGTGCTAAATTATTCTTCAATAATTTTAAGAGTGTAAATCTTTCCCAAGGACCAAGCAGCTTAAGAACCGCTGCAGTAGGTAACACTCTCTGGGGTCCATCCCCTCCAGGACAGTCTCCACACAGGGCCTGGTTGGCAATTCTTGTCCCAAGTACTGGTCCCATGGACCTCCCTGGACCTTGCAGAGCCCATCTCATGCTCAGCCCATCCTGCAGCCCTGACCTGATTGGTGGCTCCATTGTCAACCCTCTCCACTTCCCCTGCATGGTAAGTCCTTCTGTGGAAAAGATAGGTGCTGGGTGTAGAGGTGGGCTTGGGAGACATGTGGCCCTTTGGGGCACTGAGAATGGGTGACCAGAAAGGAAAAGGAGACCTGCTGTCTTGCGCAGGGTGCCCATCTCCTTCTCTTGTGGCCCCTGATCTCCTCCAAGGATTTCCCACTTAGTCTTTGCTTCCTTTCGTGGGCCCTGATTTCTCCTTCTGTGGCTTACGCCCAATCCCAGCAAGAGAGCAGAGACTTGGCCAATCAGGGATGCATATTTTTTATTGAGAAGCAGGGAGGAAGGAGCATCATAGAGCATGGAGTCATTTTAATGGAGTCAGAGTCCAGAGGGAGGGGTGAGCTTTCTTAGGGGTTGTGGGAAATAACAAACAGAAGACCTCGTTCTCTTCGCTAAAGAGTGTGCAGTTGTGCTGTGAAGAACTCTAGGAAACTTTCAATTGATTTAAACAGTTCCCTTGTTTTAATTTTTCAATCATGTTTGCTCCTAGAAACTTTCATGGAGTTGAAACCCACGGAGGCAGATTGCTGAGCAAGGAAATCTGTGTCCTTGTAGTGAGCTTGTACAACCAGCAGAAGGCAATGTGGTAGAGGAGATGGCAGCTGGAAAGTCTGGCCTGGTCCCGACCAGGACAGTGGATGGAGAAGGGCAAGAACACATATGGCCTCTAGGGAAGGGTCTGAGAACATGGCACTTCTGTCTAAATCGTGTGGCTTCCTGGGAGAGGAGCTGGGAGGAGTCGTTGATTGGAGGAGGAAAATCCAGTAGACTATGACAATATCTTTCTTCTTGAGTCTCAAGAGAGGCAGCATCTTCTAGGTTGTGTGTGCTCCCTGTTGTTGCTGGAAGTGATGGGGCAGGAGTGAGCAAGGGGGTGCTTCATGACCAGGTCGGAGAGGGTGGCTTCAGAGGTGTCACTTCTACTTCGGCGGGTATTTTTGCTGGCCAGGGGGGCACTTAACAGGGGGATACTCCTGCTGGCCAGGAGGTGGGGGACACGGCTCAGGCACCTTGGGAGGGCAAGGCACAGGCACCTTGGGAGGGCAGGGCTCAGGGACCTGGGGAGGGGGCTGGCAGGGAACTTTGCATTGTTGCTGCTGCTGATAGGACATTTTCTTTAGATTGTAGATCAACTGAAAGAAAGAAGAAAAGCACTTTAGAATGAGACAAGATCAGTGGGGGAGATTATTTCCAAAGGAGCACAAGGGGGAAGCCTTCTCTCCTATAACTTCTTTCTTTCATGTCGGTGCTATGACCATCCTATTTTACTCTCTCCCGAGACCACCCAACCCACAGAAGCCTCCATGGATCACAGTGGTCAACAAAGAGGATTTTCTTGGGGCCCGCCCTGCCGATGCTCAGTGTCTGCTCTGTCTGTCCCACCCGGAGAGTTGGTGCCCAGACTGTGCTCTGTCCTTTAAAGAGAGCATGCTCACTCTACAGGGAGACAGGAGAAAGAGAAGATTTGGAAAGCATCTGGGAAATGTCCCTGAAAATTAAAGGTAAAATGTCTTTAGAATCATCACCTTGAAGAAAAGAGGACTGGGAGGCAAGAGAGCACCTGCTAAATTCTGTAGGACCTGTTGATGCAGGGTCCAATTTGGAGAGATTGGACTATATTTCTTCCAGATACCATGAAATATTTCCTTCCTCTAGGACTGTGCCCTCTTCACTGCTGAGGCATTTCTTCCTCTTTGCCCTCTTAGGCAACTTCTCTGGTCCTCTGTGTCATTCCTGACTACTTTAAACCTAGTCACTACTTCTTCAAGGATAATGAATGTCCCTTCGTGATGGCTGTCTTAAGAGTTGGAACCAGGAGCAGAGTCAGAGTCAGCAGGAAACCCCAGCCAGGCATCCGGCTCAGAGCCCCACTGGATGGCTCATCATGCCCTAACCCAGGGTCAGAAGCCTGACCATGAAAAGAGAGAGATATTTGAGGAGGAGCACAGGAAAGAACAAAGATGGAGGTTATGAAAGCTAAATTCTGGCCTCAGCTTTACCAATATCCATTTGGCTGACCTGGAGCTTTATCATCTCTACCTTTAATCACATGAATCTCAAATTACCTTCTATTTTAGAACAGAGGTAGGTAAACCTTTTCTGTAAAGGGCCAGATAGTAAATATTTTAGACTTTTCAGGCCAACCAGTCTCTGTCACAACTATTCAACTCTGCCATTGCTGTGTAAAAAAGGCATAGACAGTATGTAAACAGATGGGCATGACTGTTATTTATAAGAATGGTGGTGGGCTGGACTCGGCCTGTGGACCTTAGTGTACCGTTACCTGCTTTAGACCCCCGACTTTCTGCATCACACTCATCTCACTTCTCCCTGCTTGCTGTCTTTCCCTCCTGGTCTTTGTTTTCTGGTCTGTTTTGCTTGTCTGTTCCTATTGCTGTTTCTGGGCATCCGTCTTTCCTTTTCTGCATCCCACCCTAGCCCATAACTCTACACAATCTCCTCATTCCCTTTAGTGGGAACCTACTGATGGCCCCTTAGAGGGCTTCCTCTCCCACAGAACAGAGCCTCCCCACTCACCTGCCTTTCCAGGCTGTTCCAGGCTTCAGGGATTCAAGTGTGTGGAGAAGCCCAGAACAGGGTCCTTTTATCCTGGGCTCAGCCTGCGCAGGAGGAAACTAAAGGAGTTTCCCCACTATTTCCTGGTGTCCCGATGTCTCATTCAGTTCTTGAAAACACTTGCTAAACTCCTTCTATGCATGAAAAACTCCAGTTTGGCAGCTTTTGCATGAATAATAGCATTTGCATTTCTTCTGGGAGGATTTAGTATGGTGTGTAATGGGTGCGGCAGAGGGATATAGGGATACATGCATTTTCTTCAAGTGTACCTGGGTCCTTCAGTGGAGTTGGGATGGATATGAGGAGACAGGAGGAAAAAAGTCTCTGGGCTGAAATGTGCAGAGAGAGAGTCTTTTCCAGGAATGCCAGGGCTGGATCTTAACGCACTTCATATTCCATCCTAGTGTCTCCTCCCCACATTTTATATAGAGTGAATGACATTACCATCCACACCACATATACTCCACCATTAGCACTGATGTTTGGGGTCAAATAAAATTAAGATCATTTACCCAAAGACCATTGAGTACCTACTAGGGGCCAGGTCTGTGAGTAGGGGAGGAAAGAATAATGAATAAGACCCCACCCAGGCCCAAGAAATGTTCATAGTCTAGTAGGAGACAGATGTGAATATGCAGAGTGAAGGGACAGTGCAATATGGCAGACAGTTGATCAGCGTACTACAGGTCTGCCAACTGGGACTTTATGTGGAAGGGGACTCTCCTATACCAGGCATTCTTTCTCCTTCTAGAGATTGTCCTGAACTCTGGAGGTTGACTTAACCCTCCTCTACCAGCTTCATATCATCCTGCTCCCAACTATCATCCACTCTCTTCTCCCCTTCTTTAGAACCAATTGATATACAAGGACCTTATATTGTATCCTCTATTTCCAAGGAATAAAATGTGAACCTCCCCCTTGGTCACTGACCCTCCTTATTTGTCCTTTCATCCTTGGGGCTCCTTTTCTGCATACAGGCCAATGCGCTCAGAGTCCTGGGCACCTCTTCTTCCCAGCTGGTAGCTCAGGATTTCTTACGGTACTGAGAAAGTCTTGATGGTGTGGGTAGAACAAAGGGTCTAAATCCCCAAGTAATTTGGCATATCCTATATCCCAAATTTTAGAAGGGATTCCTTGTTAATGGAAAATGTAATGAAAGAATGGTATATTCCCACAAAGAAAGACTATACTGCAAAGAGACAAACTACAGCTACATGCTAGAAAAGGAATGAATCTCACAAACACAATTTTGGGGGAAAAAAATCCAGGCAACAAAGAATTCCTACTGTATAATTCCCTTTATATAAATTTCAAGAACAAGAAAAGCAAACCTATGGTGTTAGATGTCAGGATAATGGTGATGTTTGAGGGCCTGTCCACTAGGTGGACTACTGGGATGCTGGTAACATGCTCTTTCTTCATCTGTGTATTGGTTACATGGTTGTTAAGCTAGTGAAACTTTATTGAGCTGTATTCAGTTGTGTTCTCAATTTATACTTCAAATTTAGTTCAATTGAAAGGTTACTTTAAAGAAAAGAATGCTAGTTTTCCTGCAATAGAGTGAACAAAGAGACCTATGATCAGGTCAGCAAAATAGTACCATCACAGGAATGTTTTGTAGGACAGTAAAGACTTTGGATTTTATTCTAGTTGCAATGGGAAGATGTTCAATAATTTCAATAAAGACAAGGTACAATGTTATTTATGTTTTTATATTATTGCTGCAGTTGCTCTGATAAGGGATTGTTGTGGTACAAAATTGGAAGAGGAAACAAGACAGGAGACTTTTGCAGTGGTTCGGACAAAGGATAACAGTGGCTCTAATTGGGGTCAGAACATTGGAGATGAGAAGGTGAGAAGTGGTTCTATTCTTAAGACAGAACTTTAGGACTTTGGGAGAAATTTTATGTATGAGGTAAGAAAAAGAGGAATCAGAGATAAATCCTAGGCTTTTAAAGTTATTATTACTTTAAAATTGTTATTACTTTAAAATTATTATCCTTATTACTTTAAAATTATTATTATTATTGTTTGTGGCTTGAGCACATTTACACACAAGGCAACATTGTTGTGTATATTAAAAGTGGATAGAAAGTATTATTGACAATAGTCAAGATATGGAAACAACCTAAGTGTCCATCAATGGATGAATGGATAAAGAAGATGTGGTATATTATTCAGCCATAAAAAAGAAGGAAATCCCCCCATTTGTGACAACATGGATGAACTTTGAGGGCATTATGCTAAGGGAAATAAGTCAGGCAGAGAAAAACAAATACCACGTGATTTCACTTATATGTGGAATCTGAAAAACAAAACAAAAAACCTGAGCTCATAAACACAGAGAACATATTGGTTGCCAGAGATGAGGGGTGCGGAATGAGTGAAATGGGTGAAGGGGTTCCAAAGGTACAAACTTCCAGTTATAAAATAAATAAGTCATGAGGATATAATGTACAGCATGGTGACTACAGTTAATAATACTGTACTGCATATTTGAAAATGCTGCATATTTGAAAGTTGCTAAGATCTATATCTTAAAAGTTCTCATCACAAGAAAAAAAATGTTTTGTAAGTATGTATGGTGACAGATGTTAACTAGACTTACTGTGGTGGTCATTTTGCAATATATACTGAATCATTATATTGTACACTTGAAACTAATATAATGTTATATGTCAGTTATATCTCAATTAAAAAAGAAGTAGAGAGAAAATATTCCACAAAAGGTAGACATGACATTATTACATAAAAAGGATAATGAGCACATATTATGAATAACTTCATAACAATAAATCTACAACTTAGATGAAAAAGACAAATTCCTTGAAAATACAACTAACAAAAAGTAACATGTAAAAGAAAACTTAGATAGCCCTGTGATGAACTTTTGATGTGTCAGCTTGCCTAGGCCACACTCCCTAGCTATTCAAACCTAGTCTAGGTGCTGCTGTGAAGGTAGATCTGATTAAAGTCCATAGTCAGTTGGCTTTAAGTAAGAGAGAATATCATAGAAAACCTGAGTTGGTCTGATTCAATCAGTTGGAAGGCCTTAAGAGCAGAGCAGACGCTTCACTGAAGAAGAAATTCTTTGTATATACAGTAGCTTCAGCCCATGCCAGAGGGTTTCAGCCTGCCCTTCCTGATGTCCTGCCTTACAGATTTTGGACTTGTCTACCCAGCCTCATAATCATGTAAGCCAAGTTCTTGCAATAAATCTCTTAGTGTATATCTCCTACTGATGCTGTTCCTCTGGTTGAGCCCTGAATGAAACAACCTTTATAATTGTTACAGAAATTTAACTCATAATTTAAAGTCTTCCCATATAGAAATCTCCAGGCCCAAATGGCTTAACTCGTGAGTTATATCAAATACTTAAGGAAGAAAAAATATTAATCATACATAATCTCTTTCAGAAAACAAAGAAAGAGGGAATACTCATCAAATCTTTTTGAAGGTAGCATAGCTCTGATTTCGAAACTTGACGAGGACATTACACAAGGGAAAATTACAGACCAGTATCCCTCATGAACATAGAAGCAAAAATCCTTAA